TCTCACTGCAAAACAGACTTTTCAAAGCGTCAACCGTGTTATATAGGGTGACCAAACGTCCGTTTTTCCCCAGACATGTGCGTATTTTGCGTCCTGTCCTGGGCGTCGGGACAAGTGGGAGTCCATGTGCACAGGTTGTGAAGTGAGACTACAGTGTCCCTCGTTTATCGCCAGGGTTACGTTCTAAAAATAACCCGCGATAGGTGAAATCCACATAGTCAACTTTATATTTTACAATTATTATATCTGTGTTAAGGCTGTAAAACCCCTCACCACACACTTTATACACTTTTTTCAGACAGGACAGTTACAACCCTTTTTACTTCCTTCTTAAAACTTATTGCTGTTGTCGTCCTTGTGTTATTTTCCTCCTTCTTTATGTAACGAGCTGAAGAATCATTTATTCCGTAATGGAGTCCTACAGCGCAGACTCCTGCACGGGTACATTTTTGGAGACCCCCAGTACAACATCGCACCTGCCCGTTAACCCGAGATTATATCAAATTTTTGCGCTGCCTACGCCATGGACTGAACCAAGACTAAACCAGGACTAACCTAGGACTGATTCCAGGACTGAAACAGAAGGACGAAACCAGGACTAAAACAGGAATAACCCAGGACTAACCTAGGACTGATTCCAGGACTGAAGAGCAGGACTAATCCAGGACTGAACTTGGACTAAACTAGGACTAAACCAGGACTGAAACAGGACTCACTGTCAGGACGGGCTCGGAGGTGGCCGCAGGAGAAAGGACCAGCTCAGCTTCACACCTCACGGAGGAAAACGCGACAATTGCCCGATCGCGTTTTGTGGACAAACTGCTCAGCGTTCTCTCTCTTAAGTCCAAGATTAGTCCTGGTTTAGACCTGGTTTAGTCCTGACCCACCCGTGTGTTAAAAAAAAAAAAAAAAAAAAAAACATGCAAAATTGACACAAAACAAAGAAAAAATAAAAAATAAATTTGCAAAACAGTGAGACCGCAAAAGGTGAACCGTGATATAGTGAGGGACGACTGTAGCTCAATGTCGAGGCCCCACCTCCCACCCCCGGTAAGGTGTCCGTGTTTTCACAAACGGAAATATGGTCATCCTAGTGTTATAGTCATTTCTCTTCACCATTTACTCCCCTTCAGTTGTTTTTGGAGGGATTCGCACATGTTTGAGTCATCTTTAATCGCTTAATTTCAAGACGCCAATATTTTTTGACCGATCTACCCCCGTTTTCACCTCCACCTGTACACGCCCACTGTGACCTACGCTGTCATGGTGGTCATTTTTATTTTGTAATTTCTGTAGCTTTGTGTGTGTTTGAGTTTTGTTTTGTTTTTTCATAAGGTATAAAAACACATTGTCCTAACATTAAAGATATAAGAAATGAATAAAATGAGCCTAAAGAAGAGTCATCTTACGTTATCTGCCCTATTTTCCCTTTTCCAGACAATACATCAACACTGAGAGTTACATAAAACAGTTCACTCTCAAATATTAATCAGTTGCAAACAGAACTCTTCACTTTTATGGACAACAGCTTCTTAGTTTTCTTTTTCATACGTCCACACTGCACTGGATTTAATGTGTTTTTTTTAAATGCCATTATTGTACTTGATCGTTTGATTTCTTTGTTAAGACATTTCCATAAATGAATCACAGAGATGCTTCAGTCCATAACCTTTTTTAACATGTTGGTTCCTTTTAAATTGTAGTGGTTTGTTCTCATCTCAAACACTCTTTGAATATTTACAGGTAATACATTACACTTTGTTATATACATGACTTTGAGGAGACTTAAAGGGCCCATCTCATGCAAAATCAACTTTTCAGATCTTTCTACCTTCTAAGAGTGATGTGTGGGCCTTGGATTTGTCGCCAAAGTGGTTTTAGATTGATTCTGTGTTTTTTTTTTTACAAATTGCAGTGTATTTCTGCCACCCTCCCACGTGACAACGAACTAAAGCTGCTACAACGATGACACAGCAGATACACTTATGACGCGTTTGACGTAGCAGAAAACGCTTCACACCCGCCCCCCTCCCCCACTCCACCGCCTCCACCCACATCGTCTGACAATTCCCACATGAACACCTAAACAAAAGCGACAGCATAAGTTCATTGTTCTACACTGCAGTGAACACGATATAATAAGTTGATCTACTAGTGTTTATTAATACTTTACCAATCAGTAATGTTCAGTTGATGTGGACGTGGTGCTTGAGCTTCGTGCTCCTCAAAGTCCTCGTCCGATTCCGGGTCCAACACATGCGGCTGAACGCGCTGTATCTCCATGATGAATAAAAGTTTATTCTACCACTATCAGGGTCACACACCTGTCCCCCTCCCTCCCTGAGATGGGCGGAGGAAGGGTTTGGAGGGCGGAGCCTGTGCTTTCTCAGGACGGGCGGGGGGAGGAGCAATAGGCGGACTTTCATAGTTCCTGGTCCTGACTGTCTCAAAGAAATCAGTAAGATTTCACAACTATTGTGTAATGGATGTTCCAAAACCCAAAATGTGCTTGTTTATGTGCAGAAGATACAATGTGAAAAGAGTGATTTTGCAACAGATGGGCCCTTTAATTTGACAATAGCACACATTTTCAGCACTTTTAAGATGAACAAATAATGGGTTGGATGTCTCACTTTAATGACTGGTGATCATTCTTAAGGTCAACATGCAAAACATAATAATGGTACATTTTGCATGTTGACCCTCAAATTTTGTACATTAGATATGGTGCAATTACAGAGTTATACAGTATAATAATGTTGCACTAATTAGTGAAAACCTGACTTTATGCAGCACAGCTGTGGCTTTGGAAATGTTGCCTTTAGTGTCATTTATATGAAGCAAACTCCAGTTTAGACCTTCATCAGTCATGACTCTTTTAATCTGTAACCCATCTATTTCTAATGTTATGTCTTCTTTTTTCTTTTTATCATTAAATAAAATGTTTTGCTTTTATTTTAACATTAAGAATCAATCCAATATTTTACTTTGTTTACTTTATTTTTTAGTTATACTTCCTGTTATACTTGATTGTTTGCCCCACCCTAATATGTCCCACCAGTGTCTCGTTGGTCTGTGTGCGTATAAAGCCTTTGTTGGTTCATTTGTCTGTGTCAAGTCCTGTTATTTTGGAATTTTATGTTTTACTTCAGATTTTTGTTGAAGTTTCAATTAAACAACTCTGCAAGTACAGTCCTGCATTGTGGGTCCTTGATACTCATAGGATTGGGCAGTATCACATCATCATTTTGGTAAAAAAAAAACCTCTGCTCTAGTGTGATGTGCAGCTCTCCACATGAGGGCCCACAGCATATGGTGCTTTGTCGTCATTTTCGTTTCGTCGTTTACGGCCACGTCAGCTCCCACTGGATACTACGGTTGGCCAAGTTCAAATTGAGTACAAACTCATCCAAAACCGTCTTTTTCCACAAACTGTGTAGAGTCCAGTGACGTCACATTTTTGCTGTGCCCTCTTTGGACTAAAATGTTCAAATAAAGTTTCATGCATCTTTTCTTTATGCATATATTAGGCTGCTGGCTGGGCCGAACAAAATGATGAAAAGGGCAAATATCGGCCCATGTATCAGCCAGTATATCGACCTGAGATTTTCAGTGTTTACATTTAGATTGGATGGAAAAGGGTCATGTGTTGGTGAGTTACATCTCTGACAATTCCAAAAAGCAGCACTAGAATGGAAACAAAAATATGAAATCAAAGTAAATAAAAAATTGTGGGGCATGAACCATGAAATTTATATAATAGGAATTATGTTAAAATCCGTCTCGTGTCTCATCTCGTCTTGTAGAAATTGTGTAATGTCACTTCCAGGTCCAACCAGAAACTAACTGAAACCCTAAACTGTCCCTAACCCCAAACCAAAAATGTTGTTCTATAAATGAAAAAAATGTAAACAGATTTTAAAATAAGTCTGTTCTTTTTTTATTTTTTTTATTTCCCAAATTGGAAACTGAATCATGAAATTTATATATTAGGAATTATTTTAAAATCTCATCTTGTCTCATTCTCATGGACCCAGTCTTGTATCTTGTCTCGTCTTGTGGAAATTGTGTGTCGTCCCTCCCCTATGATCCCCGAGTGTCAGATTATAAGTGTAGAGCACACACAAACACTATGTGTCTGAATTAAAGGTTGTATAGAGGATTTTCCAAGGAAAGAGACTGTTTGTCCTATTTCAAATGTCACTTATGCATGTCACCACCCCCTCCTCCACAGCGTCCACAGTAGAAACACCTCCTCCTGTCTCCGCCTCACACTAGAAGTCATGCTTGTTTACAGCTGGTGCATGTTCAGACTTAGACTTAGACTTTGACGGATTTTATTGATCAACAAGGGAAATGATTTGGACACAGTAGCTCACACATCACAATATAATATAATAACAAAGAGAGAAAATATAAATGGTAATAATACATTCTAAACAAGTAACAAGTAAGATGGCAAGAGCCAGGTGTCAAATAAAACATTGGTGAATGAATTGCTGTTGAAGTTTCCTGTCCAGAAGTCACTTAAGTGACCAATCCGTCAGTGTTTAGACCCTTTGTCTGCTTCAGTCGCACCATTGCTGGAAGGAATCTCCAAGAATCACTTTAGTTTGGCTTCGCTCCTTCCCTTCTCTTCTTCTTTCAGCGACCACAAAAATACATACCTCAACCTTCCTCTGAACAAACAACAAAACTGTAGCTCTGTAACAAAATAATTTCAGAAAATACTGTATCATCACATTAAACGATACAATATTTCAGTATTTTTACACACCCCTAACAGCCAGTCATGTTTAACTGGCCTCACCATGTCCACAGCTGATGGATTTTCATTCTTTTTTTTTAATTTTTTTTTGGTCCTCTCTATAATGCTCTTTCGAACTTTCATTCACAATTTGAAACTAAAAAAATCCTCCATACAACCTTTAAGATCCAAAATATATATATATTTTGCCCAGTGTAATCACAGTGCTCTTTGTGCTCTTTGTGATTCTCAGGGATCGGAGGAAACCTGGTGGCCATCCAGTCCAGCCGCTTCTCCACACACCTGCACTTTCACTGTGCACCAGGAGAGGTCCCCGACGAGGCCAAGGGCTGCTACTACCCCTGCCGCACCTTCTTCGGCACAGGTCTGTACAATGTTTACTCTTGTAAACGCTCCTTATGACTTCATTTTCCCACAAACTTTGAACAAATGAAAATATTGCCAGTTTTTAAAGTTTCAGAAACGGCTTTTAAAGGTTTTTTATTTTACAAAAGGGATTCTTGTGAACGTTAATCTGTGTTATAATGTTGTTGCCTCAAAAACAAATGCCAAGGTAAGAAGAGGTGTTTACATGAAAACTACCACTTCATGACATCACAAGGTTGAAGCTTCAGATGTGAACAGGCTAATAGTGCAGAATTACTCAAATATGGGTGAATGAAACAAAACACAACTCCAGGTCTGTTTTTGAGGAGGGAACAACATTAGAACATAACTATAGCTCACAAGAGTCACTTTTGTATAATATAGAACCTTTAATATAACATTTTCTTCCTCTGCGTTAGGAGCAAACCACCGCTCTGCTCAGGTGCTCCTCCTGCTGGTCATCCCGGGGCACCTCATCTTCCTCTACACCATTCACCTGATGAAGAGCGGACACACCACCCTGACCCCCATCTTCATGTCCGTGTACCTGGCAGCTGCTCTGCTGCAGGTCAGTCCACATCAGTCCACCACATCCCCAACCGCACAACTATCAACAACCGCACAACCAACCGCACAGTTAACCCCAACCGCTCAACCAAACCCAACCGCACAACCAAACCCAACCGCACAACCAACCCCAACCGCACAACCAACCCCAACCGCACAACTATCCCCAACCGCACAACTATCCCCAACCGCACAACCAACCGCACAACCAACCCCAACCGCACAACCAACCGCACAACTATCCCCAACCACACACAACTATCCCCAACCGCACAACTATCCCCAACCACACAACTGTTGGTCTTGGTCTTGTCTCGGACTTGAGCACATTTGGACTTGGTCTTGGTTCAGACTCGAGGTCTGACTCTCGATGAGTGTGATTATATTTCATTACGGCCTCTGCTGTCGGCAGTAAACTTGTAGCGGTATGCAGGAGTGTGAGGTGTCTCTTTGCAGACTGTGTGCTCGTCTGGAGCTCATGGACACTGTGTGACGCACAACAAACACACACAACCCAGTGTGTGACTTGTCCACTACAGTGTGTGCCCTCCAGTACCAGCATGTATCACAGGACAGGTTACATTTTTGAAACATCCTACCTGTCCACCTGCCTCACGTCATCACGCCCCTCCTTACCTTTTCACGCTGTCTCTCCTTCCTGCGTACAGCACACACCGGCTCGGCCCTTAGTCCACACTGATTTGAAGGGCAGGACGAAATAAAGCAAAAACTAATCAAAATGAATGCTACAGTGTTGGCAGAGCAGACCTACTGCACAAGGCAGTGTGCCTTATAAAATGCCAAATAAATCTGTGGGCCACGATGTGCGTTTGGTAAATGTGCAGAGGCAAAATCCCACTGTAAAACCAGTCAGGAATTTGCTTCAAAATCCTACCTGCTTCATTCACTTTGAAGCAGTTTTCTTTCTGTGGTTGTTTAAGTGCAGTACAGTTTGCTTGGATTTATGTATATATATATATATATATATATATATATATATATATATATATATATATATATATATATATATATATATATATATACATATATATATATGTATATATAAACTGTAACATAAATTCTTCTAACTTTTTTCACCCCGTCCTGTTTTCATACCTGCTTTAAATACGTATAAAAACTAATCACAAATCATATTGATCAATTGGTCTCAATTCTATTTGATTTAATTTGATTTTATCCTCTTAAAAATAAATATCAGTGTTTAAACCCTGACATAGGACTCCAGAAGTCTCCTTTAAAAAGACCCATGATGATCAGAGCCCATTACACGGGATTACATTCATCTGCAGAGCTCCAGCAGCAGCAGCGCTGAAGGCTCCGCACAGGGACAATAAAGTCTACCTTCTTAATGATGTTTCTCCTCTGTGTGATAAAAATAGAAGTTTAAGAGGTTCTATTACACTTCTATGGGGCATTAACTGCTCACACATCACTTATGAGATCACTATGTTCCTTTTATTGTTCTGAAAATGCTATATTCACCCAAAAACAGTGTATTCAGTTTGTGTTTGATACTCTGCCTCTCTGTAGCGCGCTGTTCTGTGAGGGGAGGGGCTGTGTGTTGGGGAGCATTTCCTGGTTGTGTATGCTAGTGGGCGGAGACTTGAACAAGACACGGGGTCTCGTACACCTAACAGAAAGGAGGGCTTGAATAGGGCCCAGGAGAGATCATTATATGACTCAAACATGCATAGATGACTTGCTGTTGTTGTTAGGTTCTTTTTTCAGACCAAGACTTTGTTTTCATCCCTGACAGTTTGTTCTGCTGCTGCGTTCCTCCTCAGAGTCTCGTGATGTTGCTGTGACGTGTCGCTCAGTTGATTTAAACAGGTTTTGGCGTTGTTTTCTTATCAGAGGAGGAAGAACAACAGCTTTGTGGACTGTTTACTTTGTCCCAGTCCAGAATGTGCTTCTTTCTTTCACATTGCCACAAATGGATGATTTGAGTTGTTCCAGTTCTGCTTTGTGTTTTGTTGCTCGTGTTTCACCTTCGCTGTTTCCTTCTCACATTCTGGTCTAAGTTCCTTTTTCCGTGGACTGAACTCCCTCCCTGTTTCCCTGAAAGAGCGCAGGAAGCAGTCCAAACTGTCATTGATGAAAACAAACTCTTGGTCTGAAAAAAAGGACCTCATAACATAAATTATGACCAAATGAACCTCACTGGACTATGCTTGGACGACTCTAAAACCTCTTCAGGCAGTTTTTTGATGAGGAGCAATATTATAACATAGAAAAAAGCTTCAATCCATTTTACAGATTATCCTCTCTGTAAAGGGTCCATTTTACGCTTTTTTCTTATCTGTGTTATAATGTTGTTTTATTTCATTCACACAAGTTTAACTCACAAACCCTGTAGATTTAGGCAGTTCTTCTCTCAAACAGAAAACTCTTTGTTGCACCTTGTGATGTCACGTGGTAATACAGGAAGTGCTCCACTGTGTTTTTAAACTCCACACACTTTCATTAAAATCATTTGGATCATTTCAGCCCTGGAGTTGCCGATTTCTACTGAACTAAAGGCAAAAGGAGCTGTTCACTTCAAACTGCCACTTCATGACATCACAGAGCATTTCAAGCTTTGGAGATGTAGACAGACAAATAATAAAGAGTTACTCAAACATGTGTGAATGAAACAAAACACAACTCCAGGTGTGTTTTTGAGGAGGGAACAACATTAGAACATGACTTAAAGCTCACAGGAGTCAGTTATGTGTGATATTGGACCTTTAAAGTATCTGTATTTGTGTATAATAGCAGAGGTTGTTGTGGTTGTTCTGGACTGCGTGTGTGTGTGTGTGTGTGTGTGCGTGTGTGTGGGTGTGTGTGCGATGCTGACGTAAACAGAATATAAAGTGCAGCTTTAGCATGAAGGTGACTCCAGCAGCAAACAACAGAGTTCAACTATAATGTCCAATAGCCCAGTAATCCCTTTGTAATACACAGAGTCACATTAAGAGGAAAGAGACAGAGGGGACAGGAGCTGAGGAGACAGAGGAGACAGGAGCTGAGGAGACAGAGGGGACAGGAGCTGAGGAGACAGAGGGGACAGGAGCTGAGGAGACAGAGGGGACAGGAGCTGAGACAGAGGAGACAGGAGCTGAGGAGATGGTAGCAGAGGAGACAGAGGGGACTGGAGCAGAGAGACAGAGGAGGAGACACAAACTGAGGAGACAGGAGCTGAGGAGACAGAGGAGACAGGAGCTGAGGAGACAGAGACAGAGCTGAGGAGACAGGAGACGGAGCTGAGGAGACAGAGGGACAGGAGCTGAGGAGACAGAGGGGACAGGAGCTGAGGAGACAGAGGGGACAGGAGCTGAGGAGACAGAGGGGACAGGAGCTGAGGAGACAGAGGAGACAGGAGCTGAGGAGACAGAGGAGACAGGAGCTGAGGAGACAGAGGAGACAGGAGCTGAGGAGATGGTAGCAGAGGAGACAGAGGGGACTGGAGCAGAGGAGACAGAGGAGGAGACACAAACTGAGGAGACAGGAGCTGAGGAGACAGAGGAGACAGGAGCAGAGAAGACAGGAGCTGAGGAGAGAGGAGGAGACAGGAGCAGAGGAGCAAAGGAGAGAAGAGACAGGAGCAGAGGAGATAGGAAAGAGAGGGTCAGAGGAGAGTCAGAGAGTCAGAGTCAGAGGAGGAGTCAGAGGGTCAGAGAGTGTCAGAGGAGAGTCAGAGGGTCAGAGGTGTAGAGAGAGAGAGTCAGAGGGTCAGAGGTGTAGAGGAGAGTCAGAGGGTCAGAGGTGTAGAGGAGAGTCAGAGGGTCAGAGGTGTAGAGGAGAGTCAGAGGGTCAGAGGATTTAGTGTTAAAAGTTTGTAATAATAGAAGTGTAAGTGTGGAGGAAACAGCTTGGAGCGCTGGAGCTCACAGACAGACACCAGCTGTTCGGAGCTCTCAAAATGGCGGCAGGTAATGCTTTAATTGCAGCACACTTCCTCAGATCTGAAAAGTGCAGCCTCCGCGTCTTTCTCTAATTAAGTTTTCCACTAAACTCATAAAACACAAGGTCCACACATTTAAGAAAAGCTGTAATTCACTAATTAAAGGTGCACTGTGTAACCTTTCTAGTGCGGTGTCTCCTATCTGTCAGATGGTACAGTATGTTTTTCCTGGAATGTTCCACAGTATGACATTAAACTAAATAGAAGTGGTTTTATGACTCAAAATTGCCTTGATAAACACACACTCTTGCTGGGAGTGGCGTCGCATCTCCACAGATCTGACCTATAACTTGGTGTAACAGCTGTGAACTTTTCATCAGGCCATATACAAATGACAAGACACAAAATATAAAACATGGGAGCAACACACACTTCCAGTTTTCAAAATAATATGTCAAAATGATCAAATTCACATATAAACTATAATGAAACATAACAAACAACCAGCAAATAGTAATAAGTGCATTTTTATCTCCGTTACATTGACCTGGTGTTGTCATCTCCTTGTTTTCATTTGTTATATTTAATGCTATATTGAGGAACATTCTAGATCTGAAAAGTGCAGCCTCCGCACTCTCCGCACTAGTCAAAGCAGTAGCATCTCCATGGAGACGAGCAGATGGTTTACCCTCCTTGGGGTGTTAAATGTATTGAAATTCAAATTAAATTCTAAAACAAGTAACGAAACTAGACCCTCATTTTTCACAGGTTTTGATACTAAAAAAGTCCCACAGACAGAACAGAGCAGAACCTGAGTGTGTTTAGAACAATCTGGAACTGATCAGAACAAATATATGAGACTAATATACACCCATGGACCTGGTTTGGACCTGGTTTAGACCTGGTGTAGATCTGGTTTAGACCTGCTGTAGACCTGGTTTAGACCTGGTGTAGATCTGGTTTAGACCTGGTGTAGACCTGGTTTAGACCTGGTTTAGTCCTGGTTTAGACCTGGTTTAGTCCTGGTTTAGTCCTGGTTTAGACCTGGTTAAGACCTGGTTTAGACCTGGTGTAGATCTGGTTTAGTCCTGGTTTAG